GGGGGGTGGGGGGTGGGGTGGGGGCGGGAGACGAAGCAACTGACAAGCGGAAAGGAAGAAAGAGAGAGAGGAAAGATGCCGGGCCTAATCGCCGTGAGCGAGTTCGTCGAGGAGACGAGGGAGGACTACAACTCGCCCACCACGTCCACCTTCGTCTCGCGGATGCCACAGTGCAGGCAGACCATCACATCCCTGGAGGAGGTGAGTACGACCGGCGCGCACACACAAACAAACGGTAGCCATAATGAGGCGGGCTCGTGTAAACATTTAATTAAAGTGCCGCGGGGTTTAACCTTTAAAAGACTCCGCGAGTCTTGCGCCGATCCGTTGACATGCGCCGTGACGGCGACTGATAGCGCTTGAGCCGCGCTCTCGGATCCGCATTGATTCGGCCGATGTTTCGATTGAATTCTTTTCTCGCGGGATGATGCGCACCGGTGTGACCGAGCGCGATTCATCCTTCGCCGAGGCGTTTAAAGCGCGCACACACAGCCGGCGATGGTGCTATTATTATCCGCCGCACGTGCCGCGAAATCCGATTTCCTTATGAGGAAACCGGCTGCACCTTCGGCTTACGTCGCTCGGTTGTCGCGGCGACATCAGTGACGCCGCGGTACGAGCGTGTGTCAGCTCGCGCGCAACCGCGCTCCTATTAATTATTGAGATAGGTTTACGCATTCATCCCCGCTCGATCGTCCCGGCGGATTTACACGCTCCTTCGAGCCGTTTCAGATGCTGTCGCGAAATATCGCGGCGAAAACGTCGAGCTGAAATCGAAGGACGTTGATAAAAATGGTGGGTGACGTCGGCGGATCCCGAGAGTTCCGTGCGCACCGCTGCTCCCGTGACTGCTCCTCGTCACGAACGCCGCCGTTTTAACCCTTTTGTAGGGCACTGGTGTATTATTTTGCCACTTCGCACGGCCGATACACGCGCGACGATAGGCTGCTTCGTCGTCGTACACATGCCAATGTCGACCCGACCGTTCGTTCGGCGATTCCTCGCAATCGCTTTCCGAACACGTTGCGCCAGCGGCGTTTTGCCAGCGTCCGTTCTACTACCCACCGACGACGACGCGTGCTTCTTTAAAAGATGATCTGCAACGGGTAGTAGGAGTGTGTTTATGAGAAGTAAGAGTAAGAAATTGGCCAATCATAGTCGATTATTCTCCTTACATTCGAATATGATTGGGCAATTTCTTATTCTTATTTCTTAAGAACATATTTCCACCGTCCGCTCGTTTCACGTTTCACTCTGCGACCAATCTCGTCGGGAGTTGTGATTAACGATCACGCACGACAGATTTTTTCGGGATGAAAATTCTTCACGATCAAACCGAGAGCGTGAGGCTCGCCTTTGGTTCTCTCTCTCTCTCTCTCTCTCTCTTATCTATCTTCCGCTCTAAGCAGAGAAGCGTGTCCAATATCCACTTTGTTGGCGTGCGGGAATTTCCGGGTCACTCGTTCTCCTCCCGTAGGAACATAGGGGAAAGAGGGGGCGATAAAGAGAGAGAGGGAGAGAGGTGGGGAGAAGGAAGAAGATGCACGCCGCCGTTCCAGTCTTCTTAACGATCCGAAGAATTTTCTCTTCGAGAAAATTCTGCCGGATGAGCTCACTCGTGCAGTTCCGTCTGCTTCCTTTCGATTCCGCTTCCCGCCGAGAAAATTCCTTTCTTGCGGTAACGACAATAACGCGCGCGCGCACCCACAACCGGACATTCGCGGCGATGTTATGGACATATTGACGGACACGTGAGGTGCGCGCAATCGTTACGGCGAAGTTTACTTTGTGATACGACGACGACGACAGCTGTTCGCTCTCAATAAAGGAGGTCGATCCGCGTCCGTATTTTAAGTTTTCCTGCGTGTTCTCTTTCGTTCTCGTTCTTTCATCGATGACGAAAATAGATCGCGACTGGTTCCGAAATAGTAAGCGACGCTCGAATTTCGTACGGAGACTGGTGTCGTAAGTACGAGCGCTAAATTGGGAAGTGGGTGGCTCGAAGAAGACAGTCAGGGTCAAGAGTACGACGGCAACACCCCGAGTCGAAAATTCGGTTCTATATTAAGTATATTTAGTTATAAGTATATTTAGTTCTGCATTCAGTCTTTAAAGGTCTACATATGGGATGCGACAAATTGGAAGTTATTTCCGTTTTCTCCACTTGAAGACTTAATGTCCAGAACCAAATAGACTGGACGTAGGACCAAAATTTCGACTCGGGACGTTACTCTCTGATTGATACTCTGTATAAATTATATCCTTATTAATACATAAGTAAAGTCGAATTTCTCACGTATAAATAATCAACGCGCAGTACCCGCCGAAAGAGTAACGATTTATTATATGAAGAACTTGTTCGATTTCTCAGAAACCTGAGTAGAAATTTTTAATTCTCCGTTGAGTTTTCAATTGGAGAAAACGGCAATAAGTTCCAATTTTTAGCATCAAAGGAGTACGATAAGTGCTCCTTTAATGCTACAAATGAGAGTTGAAACCTCCCGAGTCTAAATTTTAATTCTACGTTAAGTCTTTTCAAGTGGAGGAAACGGCAATAACTTCCCATTTGTAGCATCAAAAACAGTAGAAAGTCTTCGAAGACTTAACATAGAACTAGACTTGATGTAGTACAAAAATTTCGAATCGGGAAACGTTTCAATACATCTCGTCGCGTTACAAAGAGATCATGCTCGCGACATAAGAGTAATTACGATCGACTCCTAAGTGTACTTGTACACTTCGTCGATTTTATCTTCGTCCCCGAGAAAGAAGGGCCGGAAATACTTCGAACGTGGAGTTATATTTTTAGACTGACTAATTGCGCGCAGAATATATTTTCTACGCAGTGCAGCTTTTTTCCTTCTTCGATGACAACGACGAAAGCGACGACCGGCCTGCATGGCGAATGAGCACGTTCTATTAACGCGGGATGATGTAAGAGTCGCTCGGTCGCGCTCGGAGGCATCGGGGAGAGCCTGGAAGGAATCTGTTATCTCGTCATGCATTTGATTATCGAGCGAGCGTTAACCGTTCGTAAGGACACGACATTTCGCGCTCATCGGGGCCAGGAGAGAAAGAGAGAGAGAGAGAGAAAGCGAGCGAGATCCTTGAAATGGTTGTTTGACAAACGACCCAGCTCAACGGCGGTATAATCAATTTCGGTCACACGTCAATATATCGACGGGTGGGGGGAGGTTGGCCATGCGGCGGCTTAACCCCGGCGCGCGATCCGTTTTGATCCGTAACGCCGACTGCAGTCGGAAGCACAAATCCATTGTTTATCCACCGACGGCGAGGCGGAGAGCCGGCGAGACGTGTAATTACGCCCGAATCTGATCGCACGAGCGTTTTCAGACGCTAATTGGTGATTTTAATCAGCCGCTTTTTACTCGCGATTTCTAATCGCGCTAACTCGCCGAAGGCGCACGGCGGCTTTTCCCGCGCCAAACGACAACGGCCGTTGGAAATTAATCGCGCGTTCGCCACGTTACGAGGACGACCGCGACGACGAAGCCGGCGGTAAAAAAACCTTCCTTTCTCTCTCTTTCTCGGCGACTTTCACTCGGACCGTGCATCTCGTTGCAACACGCGGTTCGCGCAAATTCCGGTACGAGATGCGTGCGTTTAGAAACTGCGTATCGCGATTTTCCCGGAAGGACGATCTCGCCTCGCGCGACCAGGCGAATGCTGAATATGAAATAAAACGGCGTCTCGATGTCGGACGCGGGCATCCCATTAAGATGCAATTACATGCAAATCGCAGACCACGGGCGTCGTTCGCGGCGAAAGCAGCCGACTTCTTAATTATCGACATCTACCCGGCCGCGCGCGTTGTCTTACAATCGCTCTTACGCCATCCCCTCGCCCGTGTAGTAGTGTAATAACACCGTCAGCGCGACGCTTTTTTTACGAGCTTTTGCGAAACGCCCGGCCGCAGCTGTTTCGCGGGACGTGAGATTGCACAGAGTGCGTTTAGAGAGAGAGAGAAGGGGATAGACACAGCGGGCGATTTCGCACGCGGCGCATAAACGCTTGCAAATCGCGACGCGTAAACGTCGACGATACGAACGGCCTGTCAAGGCCGCGCGCCCGAGAATTCCTTTCGTTCTCTCCGTGATCTCTCGTGGCAGCTCTTTCTCTCTCTCTCTCTCTCTCTCTGAGCACCTGTGCCTATTCGCGCGGAAGCATTGCACGCACGCTTTCATGCTAATCGAATGCTAAGTTCGACGGATGAAAGTAGAGCGTTACAGAAATTAGTGACGAATCACGAAATCGGACGCATCATCACGTTCTTGCGCATATCTTGCCCATAGCGTGTCAGTCCGATGATACTCGGCTGACTGGATGTTCGCGTGTATCAATCGGTAGTTAAGATAGGTGACTGAACTTGTTCGCGCGCGCCCGTCGATTTCTGAAATGATAATTTCATTCGCCACGCTTTCTTCAGGCTGTGTTTAGCCATTTACGTTGGAATGCAACGAGCACTCTCGCTTAACTTCCACGTTGTAACTTGCAATTCAACACGGGGCGCACAATGTGCCGAACGGCCCCCCTTCTCGAGGTCGAGACACGACGCGGTGAGATTCGAGACGCTGAATTTCCGTCAAGTTGTCGCGACTGATCGTCGATTCGACGTAAAGAGAAACGATCAGCCGCCGATACTTAACACTTGAATAACAAGATTCATGCAGTCACACCTATAACAAATAATCATTTGATAAGTATTTAATAAAGAAAATGATTGAAAAGTCATGAAATTTCAGATTCCTATTTTTTGTACAAGAAATAAGATATTGATGTAAAAAAATAGGGAATGAAATGACCGTGCGGTACTTCTAGTGTTATTCGATACTTTTCACTTTTGGCGTTATCGGATATTCTTATTGCATTATATTTTGTCATTATATCATGCGCGATGCAATAAAAGTTAATTAAAAAGCTATGAACGAGCTCGCTATAACGAGAACTTGTTGGTCCCTGTGATATATGCTCTATCGTGAAGATATGTACAATCTATTCCAGATTCCAGGCCACCTACTTCTCCGTTTATTTTTAGCGGCCGAGCTATGACGGCATGTGCTATAATGTACGTTTTAGAGACACAATTTATTTTTATTCGGCTGTTTCTCGGTTTGTCCCCAGCATTACATGAATCGTCCTTGAATCTTACACAAGACGCAAACACATTGTTGTTTGCCAGT